CACACAAAACAAAAACAAATTTATTAACTACAGAAGATAAATTTTAAATGATTATAAGTGATAGCAAACAGATCAAAACAGATTACCTTGGTAAATAAACAAAACCGCAAACTGAGCTTAACACACTAGATCGGTAGGATATGAATTAGCAAATTCTCACCATGAGTGATAAACAAGCTGGCAGATTCTTAAGGATAAACAAGCTGCCTTAGCTTTCTCAGGTTTTCATACACAGGCTAAAAAGCCCTCTAGCCTGGGACCATCACTTCCCACAGTTCAGTCCTTGCCCATCAGGTGTGTTGTTGTAGGAAGAGTGAGGTCCCATGATGATATTTTCCCCCTTTTATATCTTCTTCCCACTTGCTGGAAAGCTCTTTTGCTGTGATGTGGGTCAAACAGTTCCCATTGTGTAGTGCTATCTCTGAGAGGTTTCTATTGTACACAGTTCTTGGGCTAATCCTTGTGTTTGTATGCATTTCCTCAATAAGCCATTAACATTGTTTGGCCTTTTTACTGTTGTACCTGAAAGGCTGCTTATGGGTGTTTTCAACCTCACAACGAGTTTCAGTAACAAATACATAGCTAAGTTTAATAACTACATATATGACAATAGCACATACAATCCAACGAGATATTACTGTCTAGCAGATCAAGACTTCTAGAATGATACCTCACAAGGCATACTGTGTACAAAACATATTCTAATTACATGACAGTGATGAATATTGGGGTGCCATGGTGTCACAGAGGGCTCTTTAGTCTAGCAGATATAAGCATAACAAGATGCAATGGCTGGAAGTGGAACCAGACAAATGCAGATTAGAAATAAGGAGCAGATTTTAACAATGGATGGTAACTATTGAAACAACTTACAAAAGGCTTCTCTATACCCATTTTTAAATGAAGAAAATTGGATGTTTTTCTAAAAGATAAGCTGTAGTTCAAACAGGAATTTGGGGAAGTCCTGTGGCTGTGTGATGCAGTGTCAGACCAGATGATCACAGTGGTCCCTTAAAAACAAAACAAACAAACAACAACAAAAAGACAGACATTCAAAGCATCTTATTTCTGTTTCGGTCCAGTAAAGAATAGAGATAACTGTATATTATTTTTATTATTGAGTGTGCAAAAAACCCAACCTACATAAATAAATTACAATGATTTGGACATGTATATGTGCATATGTATTTGTTTTTCCTAAAGTTAATTAAGTATTAAGAAAAATTGTCAGTGGCCACCAGCAAGAGTTTGTGTCCGCACCAAGGGCGTTGGAACGGGGGGGTGGGTCAGGGGGCCATGGCCCTCCCAACTGTCCACTTTCTGCCATGGGCCTCCCTTCCCCACCCAGCCAGGCTGGCAGCTGGAGCCTGGCTGTGGAGTCCGGGCAGCATGGGGCACCATGCCGTGGACGCTCCACCTGCCCAGGGTGAGGGGGCTGAGAGCAGCCCCTGGTCCATGCCCCTGCCCCCTAGGCCCCCTGCCCATGGCAGGTGGAGGGCCGCACCACAGCTCCCCACAGCTGCTCGGCTGTGTGGCTCTTACCATGGCCGAGTTGTGGCTCCAATGCCCCATTCCCCGGCCCGAGCGAGCCACACTGGCAACTGTGGGGAGCCGCAAACCCTCCACCTGCCCTGGGTGGAGGGGCCGGTGGCACGGGGACACAGGCTGGGGACTGCTCTCGGCTCCCCCACCCCAGGCAGGTGGAGGGTCCACAGCTCCCTGCCTGATCTGGCTTGGCCAGGGGCAGGGCCTCGGGCAGAAGGGGCGGAACCACGGGGAGCCCTGCCCCCCCCCCACTTTTGGGAAGGATCTGCCACCCCTGGGCGGCATTCTGAGGCCACCAAAATTTTTGTTGTGAGAACCCTTAGCCCATACTTTGTGAAACCCTTTAGGAATGAAAGTTGCCATATCAGTATCAGATGTAACACTTTAGGCTTTCTCCTGCTGCTCTTTCCAAGGAGATGACAGCAGCACCCAGAAATTTTTGTGCCTCTTCTTCGCCTGACTTCAGCATCTAGAAAACTCCATGCATTACTAGCGGTCATCCTACTGCTGTAAACCTGCTATAAACCTTACCATGAGCCAGGCAACAATTCACTCCTCCAGTGTCCATCACAATATTAAACCATAAACTTATCCCCAACCCCTTCCTCATCTCTTCCAAAGCTAACACCACAGACACCAAGAGTGCAAAATACTGAGCTTCTCCGTGCCCTCCTCTTAATCAACCACCCAAGAACATTAAACCCTGACCCCCTCCCCCAGCACCTTCCTCACCTCCACTCATACCATAAGCATCCCTCCCACCAAACAATACTAAACACTGAAGCTACCTTCTCACATACCTGCCAATCTAACACTGCTATTCAACAATCCTGACACCACATCCAGCCCGCTCTTAGCTAGGACTGGTGAAAAATGAAAAAAAATTAAAAATCACTTTCATTCTGCAGGTTTCTAAAAGGTGTAATTTTCTGTTCAGTCCACATTTTTCACAAGTATTTTTATTTTAAAAAATTAACTTTGAAACGGTTTTTTTGGCGCTTCTCCCTCCTCCATTTTTCTCCTCCTTTCCCCAAGGAAGGGGGGGGCAGGGAAGGGAAGAGAAATCAAACACCCAGTACCCCAAAGTACTTCATGGGGGTGGGATCCTTTGAAACAGACACCAATAAAACATGATAATGTTTCAAATTAAAAAGTATCAGCCCCCAAGGATAGGCCATGCACCCAGAGGCAGTGCTGGTCCATTGGAGGCCCTCTCCTTACCCCTCACCTCCCAGTGCACAAAGTATTTTTTATTTCCACAAACCAAACAATATAGCTTGTTCAAAACTCCATGTTAAATAAGATTAGTGGTATTTGGAGGGTAGTGCTAAATCAGGAGCCCCATGACCTGCTAGGGGCCTTAAGCAATCACTTAGTGTGTGTGTGTGTGTGTGTGTGCTTAGTACCACTACTGCATGCACCCCAGCCTCACTATCTCTCCAGCAAGATTTCAACAAGCTCAACCCCTAACCTCTCTGACCAATGGCAACCCTTTACCTGCCTTTACCCAAAAAAGCCAGGGCTAATCCCATCCCCATCATTTCAGCCCTTACCTCTCCCTGCCCACTCACAACACTGACTCTCGCCCCACTAATAATTATTTCTCTTCTTACTCATCCCAGGCCTTTCCTACCCCACTCCCATAACACTGACCCTCATCCCCCCACAGCTAACTTGTACCCCCAAATCACCCTTCCTCCCACTCCACAAGTGACCTCATCCCCTTACCACTAATTTATACCCCAAACAACCCCTCTCTCACGCCCATAACACTGACCTCATCCCCCTACAAGCACCTACAAGATCTCTATCAAGCATTCTTAAAACTACAATACCCACCTGCTGAAGTGAAAAAACAGATTGACAGAGCCAGACGATTACCCAGAAGTCACCTCCTACAAGACAGGGCCAACAAAGAAAATAACAGAACACCACTAGCTGTCACCTTCAGCCCCCAACTAAAACCTCTCCAGCGCATCATCAGAGATCTACAACCTATCCTGAAAGATGATCCTTTACTCTCACAGATCTTGGGAGACAGACCTGTCCTCGCTTACAGACAACCCCCCAACCTAAAGCAAATACTCACCAGCAACCACACATCACTGAACAAAAACACTGACCCAGGAACTTATCCTTGTAACAAAGCCCGATGCCAACTCTGTCCACATATCTATTCAAGTGACATCATCATAGGGCCTAATCACATCAGCCATACCATCAGGGGCTCGTTCACCTGCACATCTACCAATGTGATATATGCCATCATGTGCCAGCAATGCCCCTCTGCCATGTATACTGGCCAAACCGGACAGTCTCTATGCAAAAGAATTAATAGACACAAATCTGACATCAGGAATCATAATACTCAAAAACCAGTGGGAGAACACTTTAACCTGTCTCGCCATTCTATGACAGACCTGAGGGTGGCTATCTTAAAACAGAAAAACTTCAAAAACAGACTCCAACGAGAGACTGCTGAGCTGGAATTGATATGCAAACTAGACACAATCAACTCAGGATTAAATAAAGACTGGGAATGGCTGAGCCATTACAAACATTGAATCTATCTCCCCTTGTAAGTATTTTCACACTTGCTTCTTATCAAACTGTCTGTACTGAGCTATCTTGATTATCACTTCAAAAGTTTTTTTTTCTCTTACTTAATTGGCCTCTCAGAGTTGGTAAGACAACTCCCACCTGTTCATGCTCTCTGTATGTGTGTGTATATATCTCCTCAATCTGTTTCACTCTATATGCATCCAAAGAAGTGGGTTGTAGCCCACGAAAGCTTATGCTCTAATAAATTTGTTAGTCTCTAAGGTGCCACAAGTACTCCTGTTCTTTTTGCGGATACAGACTAACACGGCTGCTACTCTGAAACATCCCCCTACTGCTAACTTATACCCCAAACCACCCCTCACCTCCATAACACTGACCCTCATCTCCTCACTGCTCTTAAACCCCAAAACACCCCTCTCACCCCATAACACTGATCTCATCCCCCTACTGCTAACTTATACTCCAAACCACCCCCTCTCAGCCCCATAACACTGATCTCATCCCCCCACTGCTAACTTATACCCCAAACCACTGTCCCCCAACCCCATAACACTGACCTCATCCCCCCCAAAAGTTTATACTCGTCCCCCCTCTAAGCTCTTACCTCCCCCCACGCCCCTGACCGCATCCCACACAACACCAACCCTAGCCCCCCCCCCCCCCGTTCAGCGTGGCCCCGCCAGCCTTTCACACTCCCCCACCCCCGCTCTATCGCTGTTCCAGTCCCTGTGCCCCGCCCCGCCGTAAAGCGGGTGTCGCGCCGCTGCTCCCTGGTCACGTGAGGGGGTGATGGCGGCGCCCTGCCCCGCCTCGGGTTGTCGCAGGGAGGTGACGGAGCGGCTGGGCGCTGGGGCGCGAGGGGCGGGGCGCAGGCAGAGGGGGACTATGGGGCTCTGAGGGAGGTGCACCCCGCCGCACCGAGCTGCTCACCCACCGTCCCCGGTCGGAGCGGGAGGCGCCGCGGCGTGCGGAGCCGGCTGGGCTTGCGGCTCGGGGCCGCGACAGGCCCAGCTGCTGTCCCGAGAGGCGGAGAAGGCGGTAAGGAGTCCAGGGGCAGAGGGGTACGGGCCGGGCTCCCGGGCCTCTGTCCCCCCAGCCGAGCCTGGGCCCCGGGTGTCTCCCGCCTCCCCTGCACCTGCGCAGGCAGAACCGTGGCCTGAGGCTTCTTCTGGGCCGGTTCCTGTGGAGCTTTCCCCGCGGAGCCGGGGCCTGGGGTTTTAAACCTCCCTTTGCCCCAGAGGTGGCTGATGCCTGGGGGCTCCATCTTTCCCTCCCCCCTCCCGACAGAGACCCAGAGCGGCCTGGGGTTCCCCCTCTTCCCTCCAGAGACAGAGCCGCCATGGGGATCCTCCACTGCCCCTGACAGAAACAGATGGGTCCAGGGCCTAGGGCATTCCCTACACCCCACCCTCCCCCAGCCCAGACAGTCACACTGGCCCAGGGCTGGGTGATTTTCTACACACTCCCACCCCCCAGAAAGACACCTAGACAGACCAGGGCTTGGGGGATCCCCTACATCCTCCCCAACCCAGATAAACAGAGTGGCCCAACTCCTGGGGCTCTCCCTCCCGCACCCCTGAACCCAGATGGACACAGACCAGACCAAGGCCTGGGTGTTATCCCCAACACAGACCAGACCAAGGCCTGGGTGTTACCCCCAACACAAGCCAGCCTAGGCCCTTGGGGGGACCTTTATGCACCATATGATTTTAAATAGAGACATCATCAATTTAAAACTGGTCCTTTTGGATGAAATGTTATCTGCTATGGTTGCACATAAGATGCAAGTTTATTGACAGAAAGCTTATAGGAAAATCAATATTTTTCTATGTATTGTCAGTTTATGTTGTTCATTAGTAGGTACATTTCTATAGTTATTCTTTCCTCTGTATAGTCAGTCACTTTCCCCTTTTGCTTGTGTGGCCTTTTGTACAGCAACAGGGCAGGGGGGAAACGTAAAACTAGGAAAATGATTATAAAATCACTAAAGCTGATGGGGAATTAGGGCCAAGTGTATTATTAGAACACATTTGCATCTCATTTTTCAAAGTAAATAGATTGCAGATTGATGGCGTAGTTGTTTGTGGGGGGGATTAAGGAATACTATTTGTATATACTTTTTATATTATTATGCACAACAGTCTAAACATTTCCAGTTTTAGTGCACCACTAGATCCTATAGTGATAAGTGCTATCATTTATAATACTTTTGTATCTCTTCACATGATTAAAATATATTCATTTGGAATGCTATTTGTATTTTTAACAACAGTGCTTTCTGCTTTGCAATATAAAAAAATATTTTCTCTAAAAGTAGGGGGAAAAAAGAAAATAGAAGTTATCAAGATGAGTAAAAAGCCTCCAAGTCGTCCAGGGATCACGTTCGAGATTGGTGCTCGTTTGGAAGCACTGGACTACTTACAAAAATGGTAAGGAAGACATCATGCAATGCTTAATTAGGTCAAAAATTTATTTCACCTGTACTGTGAGCTGTCTTTAGCTTCAGTTGTTTGGTTTGTATTAAAAATTAATATATCAATCAGTCCATATACTAATTTGATGAGTATCCTTATTTAAAAAAAAATCAACTAAAACAATTATAGAATTTTAGGAAAACATCCCTCCAAAAAACAAATTGAAAGAAAATATTAGTTATTTTTTCTTGCATGGCTATCTTGTATTTCTAGTCATGATCCTTTTTCTAGACCAGGGGTAGGCAACCTGTGGCCAAAGGCGGCACGTGAGCTGATTTTTCAGTGGCACTCACACTGCCCGGGTCATGGCCTCCGATCTGGGGGGCTCTGCATTTTAATTTAATTTTAAATGAAGCTTCTTAACCATTTTAAAAACCTTATTTACTTTACATACAACAATAGTTTAGTTATATATTATAGACTTCTAGAAAGAAACCTTCTAAAAACATTAAAATGTATTACTGGCACGCGAAACCTTAAATCAAGAGTGAATAAATGAAGACTCGGCACACCACTTCTGAAAGGTTGCCAACCCCTGTTCTAGACATTAGTTTGTTCTCTTTGGTACTGGCATATGTCTATCATGGCAGTCTGTATCTGCTAAAATATTAATTAACCGTGATATTAAATGAAAAACTTATTCAGAATATTCTGGCATGCAGTGTCGCATGCAAGATAGTCAAGTGCACTTGTGTGTAACTCCAGTAATAACTCAAGGATCCAGTTTTGTTTTAATTTTAAGGTGTAAGCAGATCTCACAAATTTTAAAACTGAAAACTTGACGTTGTATTCAGTAATAAAACTTTATCCACATTAACATTAATTCTTACTGTACATTGTGAGGTAGGTAAGTACATTTAACAGTGGAGAAACGGAAGCACCAAAGTTATGACTTGGCCAGGGTCACGTACCAACTCTGTAAGAGCTAGGATTGGAAGTAAAATAGGATTGGAAGAACAGGTCAACACTTGCTTAAAATGCTGCATCAGCCTTTTTAGTGCTTTAATGAAGATGCTCTAAGCCTATGGGAGAGAGTTTCTCCTGTCGGCTTAGTTAATTCACCTCTGCGAGAGGCAGTAGATATGTTGGCTGGAGAAGCTCTCCTGCCGATTTAGCACTACCTACACCGGTGCTTAGGTCGGTATAACTACGTCACTCAGGGGTGTGGATTATTCACAGCCCCTGAGCAACGCCGTTATACCAAAGTAATTCTGTAGTGTAGACCAGGGCTCAGTCTTGCACTATTTGTTTACTCAGAAAAGTCAGACTTAATCAAAATTTAGTAACGCAACCTGGTTTGTTTGTTTAGAAGTACTGTCTCAACAGTCAATTTGAAGGAACTGTTGCTATAGTGGATATGACCAATAGTCTGTCTGATCCTGTCTTCTGTCTCTAACCGTGGTTATTGCTATATGCTTCAGAAGAAGTTTATTCTTAACTCCTATCAGTTAGTAAGTGATTGAGGCCATCGGTCATGTGGGTCAATGTCCCTTGCACATTTTCATTCTTTCTGATGTAACTGTGGATGTTCTTGTTCACATAAATGTCTAATCCTGTTGCCCTCAATAATACTGTATGTCAGTGAGTTCCGCAGGTTAAATTATATAGATACTCATGCAGTATTTACTGTGTAGACAAAGAGGGTTTAAATTTCCAGGGCTGTCAAACTGGCACATTTTACCAGCAGTACTTTGTTCAAACAAATCCTTTTCTTAGAAATAACCAGTGTATGTCGAAAAGAAAATAGAACTGATTTTTGAACCTCATTCCATGGTATATTAGTTGGTGCTACAGAGATATGGTGAGTTAAAATAAATTGTTCTCCATAAAATTAGCACTTTATGTTCAAAGAATGTAAAGAAGGTTGAGACCGCCAACATAGTGCTGTAAAACTAACAAATAGTCATGTAAGAAAATTTGACACCAAAGATGATAACGAAAGCTACAGTATGTACAGGAGCTAAAAACAGAATTGCTTCAATTTAATATCTAAACAGGGTTCACCATATCTCTAGTACATAGTTTATATAAATAAGTAAAATTTTGTAACAACTTTACACACAGGGACAGGAATTCCGGGGAGGGATAGCTCAGTGGTTTGAGCATTGGCCTGCTAAACCCAGGGTTGTGAGTTTAATCCTTGAGGGGGCCACTTAGGGATCTGGGGCAAAATCAGTACTTGGTCCTGCTAGTGAAGGCAGGGGGCTGGACTCAGTGACCTTTCAGGGTCCCTTCCAGTTCTAGGAGATAGGTATATCTCCATATATTATTATTATTTATTATTTTTTAAATTAATATTACAATTGTGCGGCTAAAACAACACTGGAAACTATAAGACGTATGTTCTTTCATTTGAAGAAAAATCATTTATATCAATAACCGGGGAACTTGTTAGAGAAAATTTGTCCTTCTGTGAAGATAGTCCCACCCCAAGATATGGTTTATGTTAGTAGTCCATGTGTTTTACACCTAATTTTCTCAGCTGTCACTTAAGGGGCCCTGTTGACTTTAAAATTTGCCTATCTGTTTTCCAACTAAAATGCATCCATCTCAGCTATATACAGAGAAATTGTACTGAGCATACTTAAAAAAAAATTATGTGACTTGCACTAGTCATTTATCTACTGCATTTCTGTCTAACAAAAATTGTTTCTTGAAGGGCACAAAAAAAACCATGTCAGATTAGGGCTCAATTTAAATCTTCCTATTTTGTCAACACTCAGTTGCTCAAAAATAGATTTAGCATCCTTTGAATGTATATATACGTTTTAAGCCTTACACCTGGTTTTAAATCGATCCAACTTTAACTACAGCTAGGCTTTACAGAATTAAGTTTTTTTTTTTTTTTAATTTAGACATGTAATATCAATGTTTAGTTTTAAACATTTTAAAAATATGTATTGATAAAAATTCATATTTTCAGGAAATTATGGGGTGTATTTCAGGCAATCGGTGGTGTCAAAATAATTATTTAATGACAGACATTGATATTTAAAATGTTAAAGCTTTGTAACTGTTAACACAAAGTGTCAACATCACATGTTAAAATATACAAAGTATCTATTCTTAAACTCTTAAATTGTCAAGCAACATTTTTCTTACTTTGCTTATTTGTAAATTTCCATTATTGAATGAAATATTTTTTTCATTGGGTTATGTGTGTACAGTGAAATCGACCGTTTCCAACATTTCCAATATAGTCTAATTCTTCGGAGCCTAATAATAATAGCAGGTGTAAATTTTAATAAAGAATTAGGAGTTTCTAGAAAAGTTTCCACCTGCTTTCTGAGGCTTACTACATCAGATCTTAAGCTTTTATCAGTATAATTGGGTTATTTACAGCTCATCTCATGAAATGTTATTTGTTTTGTTAGGTGAGGCCATTCATATTCATAAAATATTGTAGGCTTTGTCTATTCAATGGCTGAAGCCATGTTAGATTTCCCTGTACTGTTTTACAGCTGTTATATGCTTAGGTGACTGACGCAATCAGCTTGGGACTGCTGGGGGAAGCTTTGTCCACACTGGACAAGGAAGTCAGTGAGCATATTTAAACTTGGTTATTGCTTGCATGGTTTCACCACTTCGTAGACATAGCCACGATAGTTTCCTTGTAACTGAATACCTTTTATAAAATACATGTATGATATGCAGTTACACAAGGAAGTTTCTGAACAAGATACATTCTTACAATTTCTTTAGTTTTAAACTTAACTAAATTGGTGGTAAATTCAACTCTATCTAAAGTCCACTTGAGCATTTGGTAATAGATGATAAAAACCGTCTGGGAAGGTGTATTAGGAGTATTAAGAACAAAACAAATAGGTAAAGGTATTTAAATAAAGGAATGGGTGTATAAATTGCCTAAATTGGAATGCTTAAAAAAGGTAAGTACACATTGGTCTTGAGGTTTTTAAAAAGTCCTTTTTTGGTTCTGCTTTTGTCTGTTACAGTGTTGATTCAGGACCAGATTCCGCAAGGACTTAAATGTTTACAGGATCAGGCCTTAGACTGTAAGCTTTCTGGCATAGGAGACGTGGCTTACACATTGGTGCTATAAAACTAATGTGACCTCCCCTTCCTTTCTGTTCTTGTTTTGTGATCCTGTGGACCCATTATTTCTCCCGTGAACAACTTGCTAATGTCTGATCTCTCTCCTGTCTGTCCAGATCATCTCTCGTCTCATACTAAGATTGTATGCTCCTTGGGCAGGGGCTATCTTTTTGTTTTGTTTTTGTACAGAGCCTATCACAGGGGGATTCGGGTCCATGACTAGGGCTTCTATGTGCTATGGTAGTACAAATAATAAGACGCAAATCCAGGAAAAGTGTGTAGTGAAGGAGACACAGAAAAGGGACAGTTGGCCTATGTAGTAGATGCCAGGTGGAAAAAGCTTGCCAGTGTGTGCCTGTTATTAGAAGAAAGTTATCTTTTGTGAACAAAACTGACTGAAGGGACTAGACTGTCTGGGTTGCTTTTTATTTCCTCACAGGGTAGAGGTCCAATGGATTTTTTTCTGTAAGATTTGGAGTGACAGCGACGAACAGGAAGCAGTTCTGTAGTCTTTGCTTTGGGTTTTAGCTGACTGAGAGACCTGATTGTCTCTGCTGTTTGGTGAAAGGTCTTGAACGGAAGAAAGGGTGTGGGGGAAAAAAAAATCTATCTAATACTGAGCTAATTAACTCGAAGGAGGGGCTGGCAATAAAGGTGGTTGGAGAAGCTTGCAAATATGAGAAGTCTGTTCATGAAGGAGGTCCCTCCATGGAACAGATATAGGGTTATATGCCCTATGGGGTAAGGAAGGAAGGAAGGACAGGCTTATGTTCAGTGTACAGGACTGGGAGTCAGGAAGTCTGGGTCTATTTCTGTATCTTTCTTAGATTTCATATGTGACTTTAAGGAAGTCACTCAACCCCTCTGTACATCAGTTTTCCCATCTGTAAAATGGAGCCCCT